TGTAGGTTTAAGTGCTTGTTTGTGCCTAGGTGCAGAAATAAAGTTACTTTTACATGAACCTCGCAGCTGGCTGGGTGTTATAGCACTCCCTCCAGCATATCTCTATTGATGGTGTGTCCCTCGGCATCCTCACATCCTATAAACAGTGTATAGAATTTGATGGCTCACGGACCTAAAGGTGCCCATACCCCTTACAATTATCTGCAGATTTTCTGTGGTCAGATGGAAAAAGTGCAACAGATTGGCCCAGGTGGAGATTACTCCATCCACACAGGTAAGTGTAGATGGAGGAATCTGTTGCACTTTTTCCATCTGACCACAGAAAATCTGCAGATAATTGTAAGGTGTATGGCCAGCTTTAGACCACTGCAGCTGAGGGGGCAAGCTGGCTCCGAGGATCAGGTGAGTTTAACTTTATTTTTGCAACTGGACACAAACGAGCACTTAACCACTGCAATGCGGGGGTAGCCACACTGCAAGAGTTAAGAAAAGGTTTGCCTGGAGTTCTGCTTTTAGGCCCCATTCACACCTAGGCGTATTGTAATATGCGCGTCTGTCACGCGTTTTTTTTTACCGCAATTCGCGGTAAAAAAGTTGCGCGACCGTCGCAATTCCAAAGGCTACTTGGCTGTATCCCAATGGAAAACGCCCTACAAAACGGCCCAAAGTAGTCCCGGGACCTTTTCAGGCGTGGGCCGTTTTGTAGGGCGTTAGGGACGGGCGGAAATACGGCAAGGTGGGAACGAGGGCATTGACTACAATGCTATTTATATTTTTGACCGTTTTGTAGAGCGTTCGTCGAGCATAGAACGCCCTACAAAACGGTCAGGTGTGAACGAGGCCTAAGACTTCCCTATAAAACAGGTACCTTGTGGTGTTAGTACTACACTAACCAACAACTTCTAAGTGCACCCAAAAACACCCTTTGATCCTGCACAAGTAATAAAACTACAAATTCAAGTCCATCAGAACTGTGCCCTGCACCCATTTTTCTGCAATCCAAACACTAGACTGCTGTTGGTAGCGAAGACACTGTCATCGATTTGCGGGAATGTGGCCTGGCACAGTCAGGTTCTCATTACTTTGTCAACCGGGGAGCACCATAGGAACAGCACATCGTTGCTTAGAAAAAAATAAATAGAAAAAAACGTTTTTTTTTATGACTTTGTAATACCTGCAAGCTTCAGATAAATGATGTATGCAGTGACCTAGACTGGTCTCAATGGTTCTTAAATGAATTTGTTACCCAGAGATATGCTTGACCAATACCTGCAACCTCCACACTTTCAGAGGAAATTCCAGACAAAATGCCAGTTGAGCTTTATTACATTGCTATGTACCCTAATGTTAGTTTCATATCAGAGAAGGGACCTTATAAATGCACACACATACGATGTATGGTGTCAACAGATATTGGCAATGTATGATATAGAACCCCATTGTTTTATTAAAATGTTACAAACAGGTTTTCATTAAATCCACTTATCAGGATAGAAGGGCTGAGTTGTTTTGTGTATTAAGCTGGCCACACACCTTACAACCATCGCAAGACTTTTGTGTTGCGATGGTTGTAAGGGAATTTAAAAAAACCGTACGATCTGCCCATCATGGGCAGGCAGATCGTACTTGCGATCATCGCAAGCAAGCCCTGCTGAGGGGCGGGCTTCCGATAACTGCAATGCTGAACGGGCAGTGTGCGCGTGCGGCATTTATCTTACAAACAGGCCACAAACTCGCCGACAATCGTACGATTCTCAGCGGGTTTTCGAGCCTGCTCGTAAGACAAAAGACGGGCTTTGTTTGGCATCTACACACATGAGGTCTTTAGCTGCCTGGTGCAAATACAAATCTCTTGGTTGTTGTAACTCTATGAAGGGATGGAGTAACATTCAGCTAAACACTAATATCTCGCACATTCAAATGTACACTTATCGAGGTACTGAGTGGAGGGGTGCTAATATCAATGTATGTGTAAAAGGATATGATTAGAACAAATAAATAATGAAAGATTGTGAAGAGAGGGGGAAACGGAGCTGGATATAACTTGGGTATGATATACATAGGTATTGTTTTATGCATATAAGGCAAATGTATAATTGTTTGGAATAAAAATAAAATAAATATTTAATTCAGCTAAACATGTTCTCAGTGCATTTCATTCTATATCTCCCAATTTGCTCTCAAAGATTAGAATAGGCATCATACTTTACAAAGTCCCCTTGGAATTTATGTGAGACTTCACATATACTTGTAAATGTGTACACAGATATCTCTTCTGTTATTGTGAAAATATTGCTACCTAGTAGGGCTGAGTGCTGGGAATTTGTGTGCACTCCAACCTAGATACCTGTTGGTATACAAATACAAGAGCTGCCACTGCAAACCTCCTTTGAATGCTAACCGACAGGCCATCATGCCAATTTCTGGCCATGATCTATTTTGGGCTCCATATGACCAGATGGGTAGTATGAGATTCTACATGAATAAACATACACTTTTAATTCATTATTCAGGTAAACACCCTCATATAATTAGTACATTTTCTTGATACAAAGCTAAACGCTTACCAAGTATAGCCAGCTTAAGTCTCTGTTCACATTGGTGCATCTGCATTTTTAGAGCATTTTCAGGCTTTTTCGTTTTGGTCAATACAGGTTAAATTATAGGTTGCTAGGGGGTGGGGGCTTGTTGTCATGCACGAAAACACAACAATGAATAGAGAACACACAAAAGCAGACCGGAACGCAGGCACTGATGTGCCACGCGTTCCTTTGTGGGCGATCGCGCTGCGGCTGGGGGGCTTGGCTCCAGTGCCACTGACTTCAATGCACTGCTACGCCCCCTCCCGCCCCAGAACGCAGTGAGCAGGCCAGAATGCTTTCTAGTGCGTTCCGGCACCGGATCGTACCGAAACGCACTGGGGCTGTAGCCCTCAGCAAACAATAGAGAAAGATATATCTTTTCAGTGTTGGAAACTTCAGTGTCATTATACACCTATTAACATTGGTAATAAACTAACTGATATTATGAACTGTTGCAGAAAATATTACTGGCATAAAGAATAATGTATGCCCACTTACGTCCAGCAACCATGAAACTCCACATATAGTGAAGTACAGCTTTAGCAATGATTGTCATTTATTTATTACAGGTATAGTGCCGACAATTTTACGCAGTGCACATTAACATCAGTCCCTGCCCTCAAGGAGCTTATAATCTAAGATCCCCATTGTACATGCATGCATGCATACATACATACATACATACATACATACATACATACAAGGCCAATTAACCTTCTTTGATGTCTTTGGAGTGTGGGAGGAAACCAAGGCAATCACAGGGAGAATATGCAAACTCCTTGCAGACGTTGACCTGATTGGGATTTGAACTGGGGACCTTGAGTGCTGCAAGGCAGAAGTGCGACCCACTAAGCTGCTATGTTGATATTTTGATTTACTGAGCATGTCAAATGTAAGCGATTAAACTGATGTAAATAATCGGATCAATGTGTGTCAATGTTTTTAAAAAACCTTGTTTCTATTTGTTGAATTTGTAATTATATTTTTACATGGAATAGCTATATTTGTGCACTACATAGGCAGGCCTTTTGTCACCATCAGGAAACCTACCCTGAGAATGTCATGATGTCATCGCCAGAGGCATTTTTTAACCTTTATTTTCACCTGGCGATCCTGTAAATAACACATTTCCTGCCCCTTCACATCTACACTTATTTCTCCACTGTATCTATGGGGGCTGCCATGGTTTTCATACAAATACATCATCTTGTTCATCTACATTATATGGTGGTTTGATGACACTGGTTGATAAGGGTCTTTGTGCTTTCTTCTAAGCTCACAGAAAGTTACCAGAACAAAGGACTGGCAAGATCAATAGGTCTTTGGTGTGCTTGCTGAAAATGTTCTGTCACCACATCTAAGGACTGGTAACCTAGTACCAAATATCTAGCACGGACGGCCGGCCGTCCCTCCCTCCATGTACTTAGCACACATAGCACCCCCCACCTCTCCATGTACCAAGAACACAAAGCCACCCTTCATGTAACTAGCACACAGAGACCACACCCCCATATTCCATGTGTTTAACAGACACATACATAGGTCCCCTTAGCACAGAAAACCCAAACCATCTACGTACCTAGCACACACAGCTCCAAGTACCTAACAGACACAACTCCACCCCCTCTCCTTCTACATTGTGCACATGTGCCCGACCCTCTCCTCCTACATTGTGCGTGCGCCTGCCCCTCTTCTTCCCTCGCGCGCCTTGCCCGGCCCTCTACTTCTTCCCTCGCGCCCGGCCCTCTACTTCTTCCCTCGCGCCCGGCCCTCTACTTCTTCCCTCGCGCCCGGCCCTCTACTTCTTCCCTCGCGCGCGCCAGACGCCCGCTCCTTTCTTCCCCCCTCTCGCGCGCCAGACGCCCGCTCCATCCTTCCATAAACCGAGCACACACACAGTACCCCCTCCATAAACCGAGCACACACACAGTACCCCCTCCATAAACCGAGCACACACACAGTACCCCCTCCATAAACCGAGCACACACACAGTACCCCCTCCATAAACCGAGCACACACACAGTACCCCCTCCATAAACCGAGCACACACACAGTACCCCCTCCATAAACCGAGCACACACACAGTACCCCCTCCATAAACCGAGCACACACACAGTACCCCCTCCATAAACCGAGCACACACACAGTACCCCCTCCATAAACCGAGCACACACACAGTACCCCCTCCATAAACCGAGCACACACACAGTACCCCCTCCATAAACCGAGCACACACACAGTACCCCCTCCATAAACCGAGCACACACACAGTACCCCCTCCATAAACCGAGCACACACACAGTACCCCCTCCATAAACCGAGCACACACACAGTACCCCCTCCCTTCTCTTCCATGTACCTAGCACAAACACAGTGCTCCCCTCCATGTAACCAGCGCACACAGTTCCCTCAATGTACCTAGCAGAAGCAGCTTCAGCTCTCGTCGGGAGTCCTTCTTGTCCTTCTTCAGCTGCTTCTCGATCTCGGCATTGATCCTCTTAGACTCCTTCACCTCTTCACTTAAACAGCAGGCCATCATGGAGTCCAGAGTCATCCCTTCCCCCCGGCTCTGTGGCCCGCACCGGGGGCCTCACCCTCCCGGGGGGGGGGGGGAGGGATGCTCCCTCACCGGCTC